GATCCTAACTTGGGCGTCGGAGGGTTTGCGCCGGAGAAATTCCGGCGCGCTTTCAGGTACCGGAGAACACGCAAGCTCGGGCCGGACCGAATCAAGTGAACCAACGCCATAACCGGGAAGAACCTTCCGCAAGTCCAATGCCACCGATCTCGGACCATATCATATTCCAACAACAAATTATTCATTCGATCACATATAATTATAACTAACAATCACTATTATTTGATATTTTATTATTTGTGTATCACATAAACTATGATTATATTTGTATTCTCATATTCATTCAAAATAGTAAAATTGTCTCATTTTTTTTTTTAATTTTTTTTTTCTACTTTTTAATATCTATTTTCTTAACATTTTTCACTTTAAAAAATAATATCCAATAGCACCCGATTTTTTTTGGTCATTTATTTTTTTAAATTTTCTTTTACTTGCAAAAAACGGGCATGTGGTAGTTATAACTTTTGGGCCCATACGAAGTCTTTGATTGCTCAATCAATCAATGCAATCGGCTTTGTTTCGCCACAAAAATAGTTGTCAAATCAATTTGCCCTAGAGATAATAACATTTTCACGTGCAATGAACTTAAATGGCATCGATACTAAACTACTATAGATATCAAAATTTGTCTACCAATTTATTAAGGCAATTTTTATTCACTCTAAATTAGGATAGAATAACATTTCCACTAATTAATTAATATAATATATTTGTTCTATTATCCTACACTATTTGTATACTATATTATAGTAGTATTTACTATGACGTTGTTTACTTTAATTTGCGGGATGAGACTGGATAATGAAAATTGTCACCTCTTGTAAAGAGTTTACTCTTCTGAATTGGGATGGGGTTGATCGCACTTGGCGCACATGTGGGAATTTACATGTAGTTGTAGGGGGGCAATTGCCCCCCCTCAAATTTTATTTTTTTACTATTAATATTACAAATTTTAATTTGTCCCCCTTTAAATTTATTTTTGCACCCCCTGATTTTTTTGTTTTTCACTCATCTAGGTCAACTTGTCCACAATTGTCAATTAGCAAGTCAACACTTCTTTTATTATACTATTAATTTTGTATATTAATTATTATCCTTCTACAATTTTAATTAGCCCATATAAAAGACTTCAACTTTCTTTTATTGTCTAGGCTAGAGCTGGTATTAGGGTTGGTATTTTTTGACCGAAAATCGAAAATCGAACCGAACTGAACCGATGAGAAAATAAATCGAACCGAACTGAACCGATGAGAAAATAAATCGAACCGAACTGAACCGATGAGAAAATAAATCGAACTGAATCGACTTATATATAACGGTAATCGAAAATCGATTACCGAAATGTTATCGGTTACCGAAATGTTTTCGGTTCGATATCGGTTTTGAACCTATTATGTCATGTCTTTTGCCCCTTCTCAACTAATTTTGTAGCTTCACCCCTGGACATATTGCTGACGTGTAAAGTATCTTTGATTCATTTGTCTAATCTCATCACACAAAGTAAATGATCCCTAAGACAATATGTTTGTGCAACTCTTTAGAGTCCCTGTCGTGATAATTAAATAAATTTCTAATGACATGAGAAAAGAAAAATTAATAATTTTAAATCTTCAATTCTTTTTTTTTCAAACGACAATTATATTAATAACTTAAAAACTCAAACGAGTACAACCGAAGTGTCAAGTGACACACTGGAACCAGGAGACTGGACCAACCCCCCTTGTCAACACACAAGGGGGTACGAACTCCATCAAGGAGGCTAACAATCACAAAGCAAAACTCCAAAAAAGAGACACAAACTCCATAAAGGAGAGAAAAACAGACAAAGTTGCACTAGAAAGCAGACACAGCTGCACTAAACGAAACAAAAAAAAAAAGCAACTCACACCTAATAAACAAATAAAGAAGATAAGACCTCCCCTACACCAAACAAACTCAACACACGACCACCCGAGACAGCACACGAGTCTCATCCACAAGCAAAGAGATCCAACGAAGCTACAAATCTGAAACTCGAGCCCGAAAACTGCGGCTACTAAAGCTGCCTAGACGGATCTGAAGAAGAGTCTGCTCTCAATTCTAATTTGGCCCCCGAAAAACCATCCACACCATGGGAGGGGAGAGGTAGCCGCCACGAGGACACCAACACGCCTCGCCGAAGTGCTCGAAAGAAGGATAGACCGGACGGCAAGCCGCACCCAATGACCCAAGAACCTGAAAAACACAACCCCAGATGAAACGACGATCGGTACGTCCCCGAGGTTGTGGTATGAACACTAACGATCGACGGTCTCAACCTTAGCCGGGAAGATGGCTGGGCGGTGAGAACAACTCAATCCCGGCGGGAGCGAGTGTTCCACGTCCAGATCTCCCACAAGCCTCAGAAGAGACGGAGAAATATCACAGCCCTGACTCGACGAACTCCAACTCCAGCTGGTCGGCGCCGAGAATGAAGATGAAGGAGGGGCAACGATTGGGAAGATGAGAGGTTTTTTAAGGATTGACTAATTTGGGGAGACGAGAGGTTTCTTAGAGAGATATAATTTTATTCTTCAATTCGCCCGATTTAACTTTTGCTCTTTTTTTTTTCCCTTTCATTTGCAACATGATGTCTTCTCCTCTCAACGTCAAATAACAAGTCGGACACGTAAGCATCTGATCAACAATTTATTATTTGCATACTTCGATTTTTAATCTAAATTTTAGTAACAAAAAAAAAATAAAAAATAAAAAATAATGAGATTACAAATTGTTGGATGTGCAAACCCAATCTCACATCGAAAAATTAATGGTTTCCAAGTCAATATATAAGCTTAGTGGGATACTCCCTCTATTACCAATTAGTTTTAGAATGGAACCTCATTTGAGCTTGTATGTTGAGCTTGATGGAGAACTGAGTTTTGAATTGTTGATCTAACACAAATTACAAACAATGAAAAAGCCAATCCAATAACAACAAACAAATAACATCAACAATTGGGAGCATATTCTTTTTCACAAATTATTGGATGCTTAAGAACTTATTAATGTTAAAAAAAAAAATCTCCATTGGATATTATTAAATTCACATTTATTTAAATCCTTATATTGGTAGGTACAAAAATTAAATCTTCAATTATTCGTGATATTCATTCAATTTTCAATTAAAAATTAAAAAAATAATAATAATAAAAAAAAAAAGAACGTAAAAAATACACCGCTCACGTTAACCCAAAACAACGTTAGATATTGACTGTGTCCACCAATTGTGTGGCAAATCGTCGCTGACTAAATAAATAAAATATGATGACATTATCCACTCCACAAAATAAAAAAATAAAATAAATTAAAACGATATTTAAATATATTTTAATATTTTTGTGGGGGCCCACACACCACCGTCACCTCCTATAAATTCGCTCCCCAACGCCCCTTAAGCGGTGCAACCCAAAACGATAACTCGTTCAAAAATACTACTCTACTAAAAGCGTCAACGTGTAGCTCTCTCCCTTCGTTTAGTGCTAAAAGCGCTGAAATTGCCCCACGTTTCTTAACTCAGTTCTCCCATTAAATTTGATTTGAGGCATTAATTATTATTATTATTTTTTTTTATCGTATTTAATTTGCAGAACTCATAATATTGTTACGTATAATAAATTATTAACATGTGTGGAATATTAGCTGTTTTGGGCTGCTCCGATGATTCTCAGGCGAAGAGGGTTCGGGTTCTCGAGCTTTCTCGCAGGCAATTTTCTTTCATTCTTTTTTTGGTTTAATTTTTGTTTTTATTGTTGTTATAATTACATTTTTTTTCCTTATTTGGTTAGTGTCATGATTTGCTTTTATGGTAAATGTTACTGTTCAGTTATGAAATTATTCGGTCATGATTTGTAACGGTTAGATCATTGGGTAATCGACGTGGATAGTTGATCTAACGGTTACAAACCCGATGAAATGGTAGAATCTCCCGTCTGATTTTTTTTTTTTGGTTTTAAGTTACATTTACAATTTGGAAGCTTTTTTGGTCATGTGATTTAATAATTTGATTGAAATTGTAACAAATTTTTAAATTCTCATATTTTTTATCAGTAATTTAAGTCATTGTAATATAAACTTTTGTTGCAATTTTAGTTTGTAATTTGATATTTTTTGTTGCAATTTAGTACTCAAAACACTGAAATTAAAGCAAAATGCCAGAGGACCAAAAAGCAAAAAGTTAGAATTTATGGACTAAAATTGCACATTAAATCAAACAGACTAAAAATGCATTTTTGCCTAACATATCTTCACTTGGTTCTTTTTTTTTTTTTTTTTGTTTTGTTAATTGTAATTCATTTTATATCCTTGAAAAAATGTGTAAATTAATATTATACAGATTGAAGCATCGTGGGCCTGACTGGAGTGGAATATATCACGATGGGGACTGTTATTTGGCCCATCAGAGGCTGGCCATCGTCGATCCGGCTTCCGGCGACCAGCCGCTCTTCAACGAGAACAAGAAGATTATAGTCACTGTATATATATATATCCCTTTTTATTACGGGAAATGTTACGCTCGTTACGGAACCATTCCGTCGGATTTGTAACCGTTAGATCATCATGTAATTGTCTGAGATAGTTGATCTAACGGTTACAAATTCTGACTGAATGGTTCCGCAACGAGACTGTAGTATCTCCCTTTTATTACATTATCTGTTTCTTTCTAGTTGCTTTTTACATGATAATTGTAATAAAAATTGGAACTTTAAACTTGTGTATTGTTTTTAAGGTAAATGGAGAAATCTACAATCACGAAAAGCTTCGCGAGCTTCTACCGAATCATAAGTTCCGTACCGGAAGTGATTGTGATGTCATCGCTCATCTCGTGCGTAGTTATTATTATTTTTTTTTTGAAGTGATTATTAGTGATTGAGAGTGATTCTTGATGTTTTAATGTTTTTATGGCCTTCACACAGTATGAAGAATTTGGAGAGGATTTTATCGATATGCTGGACGGGATGTTTTCGTTCGTGCTGCTCGATTCTCGTGATAACAGCTTTATAGCGGCTCGTGATGCGATCGGAATAACTTCTCTGTATATCGGCTGGGGGCTCGACGGTACTTAACTATTCGCGTATTCGGTTTTTGTTATAAGAGGATTTTTTTTAGACTCAGAATTTTGATGTTTGGTTGAAATTGAAATCGTTCTTAATTTGCTTAGGCTCTGTTTGGATATCGTCCGAGCTCAAAGGGCTTCACGATGAGTGCGAGCATTTCGAGGTTTTCCCGCCCGGGCACATATACTCGAGCAAAAACGGAGGTTTTAAAAGGTGGTATAATCCTCCGTGGTTCTCCGAGACTATTCCTTCGACTCCTTATGATCCGCTAGTCCTCAGGCGTGCTTTCGAACAAGTGAGAGATTTTTTCGCATATTTTTTTTTTCTTTTAAAAGTGGTGTTTTCTATTTGTTTTATGGAAAGAAACTAATTTGAATGTGGCTTGCAGGCTGTTGTGAAGAGGCTAATGACTGATGTACCCTTCGGAGTTCTTCTCTCGGGAGGGCTCGACTCGTCGTTAGTCGCCTCTGTTACGGCTCGTTATTTGTCGGGCACGAAAGCAGCTAAACGATGGGGTTCTCAACTTCATTCTTTCTGTGTGGGCCTTGAGGTAAATAAGGTTCCGCGGTTTTATTGCCTTTTTGAATCGGGTGAATTTTTTAGAGCCGATTTTTGCCTGCTTCTTGTTTTTAGGGATCACCCGATCTGAAAGCTGCAAGAGAAGTTGCTGAATATTTGGGCACGGTTCATCACGAGTTTCACTTCACTGTCCAGGTGAGTCTGTGTTTTGTTTTTTTCCCTCTCTTTCATTGTTAATTTTTGTTCATTGATTGGATATATTTGTTGCGCTTTTGTTAATAATGCTAAGTGTGTTAGGATGGAATTGATGCAATCGAGGATGTTATTTACCATATCGAGACATATGACGTAACTACGATCCGAGCAAGCACCCCAATGTTCCTCATGTCGCGTAAGATCAAATCGCTCGGGGTCAAAATGGTAATCTCCGGCGAGGGCTCGGATGAGATTTTTGGTGGTTACTTGTACTTCCATAAGGCCCCGAACAAGGAAGAGTTTCATCGTGAAACTTGTCGCAAGGTTTGATTTTGTTGAAATTACATACTAAAATGATATATAGCATATAACATAATGGTTCGGTTGAATTTATTTTGTCACATGTCCTGCAGATAAAAGCACTTCACCAATATGATTGTTTGAGGGCAAATAAGGCAACTTCCGCATGGGGTCTCGAAGCTCGAGTCCCGTTTTTGGACAAGGAGTTCATGAATGTGGCTATGAGCATTGATCCTGAGTGGAAAATGGTAACGACCGCGATTTTTTTTTACGTTCGTTTAATTTACTTTGTGTTGAACTTTACGAGTGAAATCTTAAAAAATTACAGATAAAACCCGACCAGGGGCGAATAGAGAAGTGGATCCTTAGGAGGGCATTCGACGATGAGGAACATCCGTATCTCCCGAAGGTAATTAACTTGTAGTAATGAGATATTGGCAAACTCTTGATGGTGATTTTTTTTTTTTTTTTCACTTTTTCACTGACATTTTTGAATAAATTTTATTCTGCAGCATATTTTGTATAGACAGAAGGAACAATTCAGTGATGGCGTCGGTTATAGTTGGATCGATGGCCTTAAAGCTCATGCGGCCGAGCATGTATGTTCTTATTATTTTCCATAATTAAAAGAAAATTAATTGTCCAATATTTTTTAATATCATAGCTCATTTAGAGTTTCGATTTTTCGACGACTCGAAATAGGTCACGGACAAGATGATGCTTAATGCTTCGCATATCTTCCCGCATAACACTCCGAGCACTAAGGAGGCCTACTATTACCGGATGATATTCGAGAGATTCTTCCCACAGGTAGAGCAAAAATAAAATAAAATAAACAATATATCCACAAAAATCGAAAAAAAAAATGACGATTTGTTTAATTTCCTTGATGTGCAGAACTCGGCCAAGCTCACGGTTCCTGGTGGGCCTAGCGTGGCTTGCAGCACTGCAACTGCCGTGGCATGGGATGAATCGTGGTCGAAAAACTTGGACCCTTCGGGCCGGGCCGCCTTAGGCGTGCACGACTCGGCCTACGAGAACAATCCACCGAGCATTGACTTGGCCGCATCCAATGTAGTTGGGCCCATCCCTCTAAACAACGGGCCGAGTCCACTGGAGCTCACTATCCAAAGCTAGTATCTTTCATGGTGTCAATAAAGGCTTAATTAGCCGTGTGTGAGGCAGATTTGTTTGGTGTGTTCATGAATATAATTGAAGCTACGATAAAAATTGTTGTTTGATGTATGACGAATATGATCGAAGCTACTATGATGGATTTGTTGTCCGGTTGTTTATAGTAACCGTCGAGCTTGAGCTTGATTAGTAGTACCTTATCTCTTTTGTTTCTTTTATTTTTCTTTCGGAGTCGAGTCTTGTAAGGAGCTTTGTTCTTCGGTTGTTATGTGCAATGCAGTATGTTTGATGTGCACGATATCGGTTTCAGTTTCTTGTATACGATATGACCGAGTTTGGAGTTTGCTAGGTCGAGATGAACCATATAAATCTACATCAGTGCATTCTTGATTATTTTTGTTTTTTTTTTTTTTTTTTTTTTT